TTTCATCGAAAAACTTGGTGAATTTTAATTGACAATTCATGAAATTGAACAAGTTTTTGAGCAAAAAAAAGTATTTTCAAACAGAATTCTGTGAAATAGTGGAATTTTCGGTACATTTTTTACTGAAAACGAACGGAAATTTTTATTATCAAACTACACATTTTGAAGAGGGCCCTTCTGTTTTTTTCTAAAACCCCTCTCGGAGGGTCCTTCTATTAGAGAGGCCCTTCTAATATAGCCTTTACGGTAATCTAGATTCATTAAAAAGCCTTGAGCGACCAAGAGAAATTTGGATTACGGTACCTCACTCCTACGTATTCCTATTGTTTACTGTTTGGGCCCTGAAAATGTTTCCGATGACAGAATTAGAAATATTCAAAGTTCACACCTCATAGTTTTCAAAAAATGTTTATCCTATCACACTTTTCCGATCATAACGGAGGTGGATATGAAACAGAAGATTTTTGAACAGGAAGAATTTGAACACCACAAAACTTGAATGATACCAAAATCACCAAAATCACAATCACACGGAAAAGATTTGATGTAATCTGAATGTTTTCCAGTTGTTGATCATTTGCTTTGCTCATATTTGAATTTAATGATGATTTCACTCCCCCGTTTTTAATTTCAGCTTGACTGGACACTGTCCAAAAACTGGAACAAAATCAGAGGAGGATTAATGAATAATGAAATGATGGGTGGTATGAAAACGTAGAAAGTATCAAAAATCGGAATAGACAATTGAGTAAGAAGGCTAATCCAGATTTAAAATAAAATAGATAGAATACATCGAAAACCGGTGGCGTATCAGATCAAAACAAGCACATCCCGGCACATGTTTACATTGGGGTTTCTTCGAATTTCTGACCCTTTTAAACGTCACAGTTTCAGATGAAAGCAGAGATAAAAATGCACGGAGGTGACACACACACACACACCGATTGACATCAATCAAACTATCAAACAATCAAACCGAAACTTTGATAGATCATCATTTGAAAATTGAGAAAGATCACGTTCGGTTTTCATTCGAAATCAAACTACATCTATCGCTATCATCCGTTACGCATAGTGCAACTTTTTTTTTGAGAAAAAGAAGATAATTTTGGAAGAGGCGGTGTCCGAAAATAAAGGGTACTCGGTCGTAAAAAATCGTCATTCTGTGAAAATAATGTTGCTTTTTTTGGGAGAAGGGAACTTGGAAAAAAAGTGACGGGAATGATGATTGGAAGTAGTGGCGGTCACAAAAATTGGCCTGGAATATGGGAGTGAAATGGATTTTTTGGATTATAAACCATTTTGAAAAAAAGAACATAAGGTCCAACATATTAGCTTGAAACGGATTTTTTAAGTTGGGAGAGTCGATTTCTTTAAAAAGCGTTTTATTATTTACCGTAAAACCTGTATTAGAAGAGCCCCTCTAATAGAAAAGACTCCAAGAGGGGCTCGAAAAAATAGAAGGATCCCTGTAATAGAAGGGCCCCTTTCAAAAAGTGTTTATTGCAATCAAAAAGTTGCGTACTTTTTAGTGAAAAATGTCTCGAGAGTTCCAAAATTTCCGAGAAACATTGATTTACCAGTTTTTGCTCATAAACTTGCTTAACTTTTACGAAATCGACAGACTTTCATGAATTTGGAACGGGAATGAACATATTTTTAAATGAAACTTTTGAAAAAAAAGGCTGGAAAAATAGAAAGGCAACCTCTAATTGGAGAGCCCTCCGGAGGCACGTTGCATTAGAAGGGCCGGCCCTTCTAATGCAGGTTTTACGGTAACCATTATCTTGATAACTCTTCAGAAACTAATTGTAAGAAAATTTAGGTCAAAAAATTTTGGCATCGTTTTCCAATCTCAGAAACTCCACTTCTGATGCACCAAACTACCGTACCCCTTGTTTATCTGAAAACAACATTTTGCGAAATTTTGTTTACGTTTACTCTAGTTTCATGATGTTTCAGGTTTCCTGACGTTGTCAATCAGAAACTTGAAATCCAAATATCACCTGCAGGGAAAACAAATTTGCACTTGAAACATTTCAAAATGCTCTCTCAGGAACAAAATTTCATTTTAAGAGACATCTAGAGTGAAAAATCTATATTTGGATACAATTTTCAGGCTCCATGAAATTAACATTTTTCAACAAATTTAGCATTTTGTAGCTTTACTTTTATAACCGAATTTAAAACGATTGAAAATAAAAGGAATGCACTTTTCGTTTCAAAATAGTTATTATTAAGAATACAAACTACATAAAAATACAGACATCATTTTCTTATTTAACAGAAATCACACATCACAAAAGTTTATCCAAATTTGAGAGTTATCTCAACTAGAAAATGTTCATGGAAATGCCTCTAAACAAGATGTTTGACTCTGGAAAAACCAAAGTCAACTGTTGCGTCAAACATCTCTTTTTAGTATTTCGCCTACTTTTTTGGAGGGGATGAAGAAGTTTAGGTGTGTCCTATGTTCAGTAATTTAATTTATTGAGTCATGAGAACTTGCAAATCAAGGATGAAAAAGTTAACTAGATAATTCAACAAAAAGTAATAAAATACAGCTTGCTAGACAGGAAACTTCAAGTAGAGAGTACACTTTACAGAGGCTATTTTTCCGGTAAACAAATAAGATATCTTTTATTTCCACTTAGGTCATTCATCTCAATTCAGTCAAAAAAAATACGATTTGCTTTAAAGTTTTAAACTGTCCGTCTTGATGGTTTTTTTTTTGCGAAAACTACAGTAATCCATCGTTTTTCATCCTCATCATTTTCTAAAACTCTGATTTATTAGTCAGTTTAAGAACAGAAATGGGGTACGAGTGGGTGCAAACGTCTCAGGATTTGGATATTTTCCTACGGACAAGCTGAATCCTCAGATTATGACTTCTTTCTGGTTTCTCAAAACTTTACGAGTGTTATCTGATATGTTAGATAAGCCGGTCTGATCAGAAAAATGTTGGCCGAAACATGGGAAAATAGGTCCTCAATCTAAGTAGAGGGGCCATTCTATAATATTTTAACTCTTTCAGAAACTAAAAAAAATTTATTTCATAATTTCCAAATCTCAGGATTTCGATGTCAAACTACCGTATTCCTTGATTATCTAAAAAAATTTCGCGAAATTTCGTTTATATTTACTCTAGTTTCCTGATGTTCCAGGTCCCACTTTCTAGATGTCTTCTGATTTGTGAATGATGTTAGAATTTTTAATGTATGATGAATTCTGAACTACCGTAATCAGATTTTCTAACATTTTAAAAATTAGTTGTGACGAGCAGTTTGACCTTTCTGTAGATTGAAGTTTCATTAGGATCAGTGAGAGTCTCGTTCTATTTTTAATGTTTTTTGCAGGAAGTTTATTTTTTTGCACAAGGAAGAGAACCAAATTTAGAAATTGAAAATAAAGAGTTGCATAGAATATTTTTGATAACATATAATGAAATAATTTTTTTATACTGCAAGCGATTCTGATATTCAGATTTATTTGAAGTTTGGAATCATTATTTTTTGAGCACAATTAATATTTTGTTATAACTCTGCTAGCTTATTTTCCGTTCCTATTTTTCATTCCGAGGATTGTGATGTTCTGAAAATGCGACATTTTCAGAAAACTAGTTTAAAACTGTAATGAATAGAATACAAAAAATCCAATTCAAATTTTGTTAGTTTCTCTTAGCATTTTTCAAAGATCAGAAAATGTTAAATATTACAAAACTAGAACAAAATTTTCGTTAACTATACTCTACTAACAAATACATCAATTCATGTGTCTTGTTCTCTTCGTAAAACCTTTGAAAGTTTGTATTTTGATGATTAATTCCGGAACATTAATCTAGCCATTTTTAGAATTGGATGGCTATAATCGGATTACAGAATTCTTCAGAAGTAAAAATTGTTGAGAATGCTTGATAAGGGGTGATAATGTTCCATGGAGCTCTTAACTTGAATATTTGACCTCCTTGACCTCGTTTAATGAATTTAGAATAACCGGAAGGACATCAGCAAAATGTCAACAAAGACACAGTTCTCGCCAATAGGAATCGGCACGTCGTCTGATGAATAAGTAATCAGTAATAATTGAAATAAGACTGAAGAAATGTCATTTAGAATTCCAAGGAATGGGGAGGAAGAAGAGATCACATAAATTGAAAATTAAGCATAAGAACAATAAACAAATATGTCATTTTGAGGTCATCGAGTACCAAAAAGGAGTTGTGTAACTGGAAAGGAAAAGAGTTAATTTAGAAAACTGTGGAAAAGAAGAATACAGAAGATTTTTAAATTTCTTTTTCCTCACACTAGCTGACATTTTGAAATTAAAAAGCTGAAAACTTTTTTCGGTGAATTTAACCTTCATTTTGTATTCTGTCACCCAGAATTTCGACAAAGCGACATAAACAAACCAAACACCGTTTTTAGACTGAAATCCGAGCTACCCAAAATCTTTGAACTTGAGAAATCTAAAGAACCAATCTACAGCAATCTCAGTTTCAAATCTCAAAGCATGGGAAGACAAAGAAACAGAAGAAAAAACCAATTATTATAATAGCACTTGGAGCATTTTCAGTGACATTTCACCTCTTTAGTTTCCGGAAATTCCAGATGACGTCACATGTCAAAAGTGAGTAAAAGGAAGAAAAAGTGGAACTACTTGCGTTCTTTTTACGTCGTTTTCTTTTCCTTCCTGCAAATTCGTAATACGAGGGGGTGTCGGTTTGACTCAAAGGTCAAAAATATGTCAAGGAGAGCATCATAAAGGCCGGAACTGAGGGTTCTGAGAAGTTTCAATAACATTGTAGAATTATTAAATTGAAGGGGATTCATTTATTTGACTGAATTTTGATCAGGGGATTTAACAAAATGAACAGAAAAGAAAATAGACACCGCATGATGAAGTTTGGGGTAATTTTTTAAACAGGTCATAATTAAGGAGGATGTGGAGCATGGGAAACCAATATTTAAATCGGGGATTGGTAGAACGGGTGTGACACCAGCTTAGTTTAGGATGTTCGACTTCTTGACATAGGTTGGATCGTAGAATGGATTTGGAATCAGGCCAACTGGTGGAGCAGATGACTTTGGAGCAACCGATGGGTTGTAGGAAGAGTTTGGAGCATATCGCACTTGTCGCAGCTGTGAATTTGATGCCTTCTGAGCATAGACTGGATCGTAGAATGGATTTGGTATCAAACCAGTTTGTGGAGTGGAGGGAGTTTTGGAAACCGATTGATAGCACGAAGATCCCTGTAGCAGATTGCAAACATTCATAAAATAGATTGGGTGGTAGAATGGATTGAGTATCAGGGGATTTTTTTTGTTATTTCCATACTTGCAAAATTCCGTGGCGGCCCCCTATTTGTACAGAAGCTGATTTTGTTCCCAAAATTTTTGAAACTTTAAAAAGTTAAATAATTATATTTGTAATCTATTTTTGAACCAGTCGGTTTACGCCCCTTCGGGGCTAAACCTCCTGGCCCACGCTTTCGATACCCGCAATCTTATAAAAAGGTTCCGTCACTTTTACGTAGGCTATTTTTTAGGGCCCATGCTCACAAATTTGAAAATTAGAAATTTTGAAAGTTGGGAAGTTCAGAAATTTTGAAAGTTGGGAAGTTCAGAAATTCAGTAGTTCAGAAATCGAGAAATCGAGAAATTGAGAAATTCGGAAGTTCAGAAATTCAGAATTTCAAGAAATCAGAAATTCGGCAATCCAGAAATTTTGACATTGAGGGATTCATGATTCAGAAATTCTGATTTTCAGTTTTTCGAATTTCCGAATTACCAAATTTGGATTTTCTGAAATGCAAGAACTTAACTTAAACGGGGACTCCGACCAAAATTTTTTATTGCATTAAAATGTTCGAAAAGTCGCCTATTTTCTCAATATTATAGCGAAAAAGTTTGAAAAAAATCCAAAATCCCCGAAAAATTTTTCGGGGATTTAGGATTTTTTCGAAATTTTTCGCCATGATATCAGGAACATAAATAAATTTTTTGAAACATTTTAATACAATAAAAATTTTTGGTCGGAGTCCTTCTTTAAGAAATTTTAGTTTTTGAGACTCTTACTTTCTGAATTTCTGGGTTTCTGATTTTTTTTTTGAGATTCTGCCTTTCTGAACTTCAGAATTCTCGAATTTCGCGAATTAGCGAGTTTTCGAATTTCTGCATTTCCGCATTCATGAATTCCTAATATGTTGTTATTTTCAAAGTGATAAATATTTGAGATTTTTTGAATTTCCGAATTTCGAAATTAGGATTTTCCGAAATTCAAAAACTTAGAAATTCAGGTAATCAAATTTTTGGAAATTGAAATGCTCGAGTACTCAGAAATTGGGAATCCAAAAATTTACACATTTTAACATTTTGGAATTTGGAAACTTATTATTTCAAATATCCAGGTTTCTAGTTTCAGAATTTAAAAAATTTGCAGTTTGGAAATTCAAAACCACTGAAATATTTTGATTACTTAAAGTTCGAAATATTTTGATTTCTTAAAACTTAAAGCCTAAGAAATTCAAAGACTACATTAAACGCGTTTGTATTGGTCTTTAAGGGAGCTTATCTTTTTTTTCAGATTTCTTATCATAATTTTTTCTTCCTTTCAAATCTTCAGAACTCAGACTGAACCAATATTCGCACAAAATCATCTTTTTGTCTGATATAACGTGGATAAGAAAAAAAAATTGTGGAGTTGAGCGGGAATGACGTAAATATATTTTATGAAGACTTGTACTGTAGAAATAGAAGAACGTCTCCAGAAGACGTCAGAAGCAAAATTTCACAAATCAAAATAGACGGGCATCATCTCGCTGCTATTTCGGGTTATCCGTGAAAATTTGGGAAATTTTGGTCCAGTGGTGAATTCCCTAGGGTCCCGGAACCGGGAACACCGGACACACACACAGAATTTGGTGATTGTTAATAGTAAAGATTTTTAATTGTATAGGATAAACTTGATAAATTTAAAAATGTTTCGAGAAATTCTCAAAAATTTTCCGGAGCTTAAAACGCTCAATCCTGTTGGTTATCCAGACAAATGGTGGAACGGACTAAATTGGGGAAACCGATGGATATACGAAAAGTTTGGAACAAAACATACCTGATTCTGATGTGGATTGGCCACCTTCTTAGCATAGTTCGGATCGTAGAGTGGATTTGGAACTAGTTGGGCAGAAGATGGAGAATGATAAGCACCAGACGATTGGGTAACAGGGATGTCAGAAGATGTGGCGAGCCAGTTCATAACATTCTGGAGCTTAGTGGAATTCTCAGGTGGGTTCGGACGAAGTTCGCGCAGATTGTAAGATCCATCATTAGAGCAACTCCCCAATCCAGAACTATTGTCATCCGAGTCGAATTTCTTCATTCTTTCATAATAACGGTAGCTGTCTTGTTTCTGCATCATAAGCTCAGCCATTGATCGGGCATGTCGATCCAAGGAAGATTTCTCTTCAGGCGTCAAACGTCCATGTCGAGGAACATAGTGAAACTTGCATGAATCAATTGATGAATTAGAAATAGAAGACATTGGAGGAGGGATAACAAAGTAAGAATAAGGAAATAATGACGGACTCGTTTGGGACCGTCTCCGTATTTCCCTTGTGGACCCCACCTGGACAGTCTCCACCCACTCGTCTTTACATTGTCACTATGAACGTTATTGACATTTTTTATTGTGGCACTGGTGGATGTGAAGAGCTCATAAATTGACATTTGATAGAGAATATCCCTGAATTAGAAAATTATATTTTGAGGCTGCCACATGTGGCCACACCAATTCAGCTCTAGTGTCCATCTAACGTCGGTCCTTCGCTTTTGATGATATCTAAAAGGAATCTTGCATTTCCTGTTAATTAATTCTTCCAGGAGAAAATGAGAAACTCGTTCTAGCTATCATATCTAAAAAGTCTAAGAAAGAATTTAGTCGACCTAACAACAGTAATTTAGTCAACTGAAAACCTGTATATGAACAGTCTGTAAAGAACGTGAAACGTGAATTTATTTTCAACGTGCTCCAGCCAAATGACCCGGTCAGATCGTTATCTTAGCGCATAAAAGGTCGAACGTCGCCCAAAGTCTCCTTATCTTGGAAACAATTTACCAACACCAACGATCGACGTTATCAACATATAATGGCGCCGAAACCAAATCCGCCGCCTAAAGAAGATACGTGGGCATTTCAACCCATCGGCTCACCGTTCCCACCAATTCCGGTGAAATGTATGGGAGAGCAAAATATGTACGTCGCTCTGTGGTACAAACACGGAAAGCCAATTCATGGACGTTCGTGGAACAACGGAGGAGTCGTCGAATGTTCTTTTCCATACAAGGAGGCTGAACTGATCACCAAGCAACAATTGGAAGGACAGATTCAAGTGCTTCAGTACGTCGGAGACCACAACAACCAAGTTAACGATTAAGCAAAGGAAGTTCTGATGGAAATAACGCATTTTCAGGTTTCTGGTATGAGTGGATCAAATACAAGGATCGTATTGAGAAGCTCGACGACAAACATCAACTTGTCCGTTGTGGAGACTCTTTCCCAATCTTCTGGAAGAGAAAGGAAGGAAATCTTCTCGGATACGTCGACAGCAAAACCGAAGAAGCATGGTTCTCGTTCAATGGAAAAGTCATCAAACAAGTCGGACCCCAATTGAGTGATATGCACATCATCACTCGTAATTGCATTGGAGGACCACCACACTGTGAATGCGATAATTGTCCGAAACCACCGCCACCACCACCAATCCCACCACCAGGCCCACCACCACCACGTGTCGTGCACGACGAATGGATCGATATCCGCGAGGGAGATCCGTTCCCAACTCGCAAGCTGGTTCAAGCTCTCGACAAGTCTTTGGATACACTTCCTGGAGTCAACCCAGACCAGTATGTCGCGTTGTGGTACATGTAGGGAGAACCTGTCATGGGACGTGTCTGGAACGAAAATGGAAAGGTTTGTGACTTAGAATAGCATGGGAATGAAGTATAGACGTATTGACTTCGAGGTTGCTGCCAACTTCTCCTGGTTCAACAATGAGTACAGCAAGAATGTCGGTTCTATCCAACTGCTTGTTCGTCTTGGACCACATGTCGTTGGATACGAGTACGGATGGATTCTATTCCCAGAAGCAGCCACATTCGAAGCTGGAAAGACCTGGAAACCAGTTCACGTCAACAACCATAAGGGAGATATTTCCGTTGGAGTTGTAACCACTTCAACCTGAAAACAGATCCTTGCCAAGGTTGATGTTCGTAACGAGTCTTACGGATACGGATACGGAGGAAAGGAAGTGTCTGCACGTGGACCAGCATGTGCCTCGACCGTCACTGTTCTCTGCCGTAAAGCTCTTCCAGGATACAAGCTTGACGGATAGAAAACGACAAGAAAGAGACGTTCACAACCCAATCGAAGTCATCCATGACTGCTTTTGACATGCCGATCTTGAGTATTTTTCTTTTGAATAAAGCGATTTTTGAATTTTTGTTTATTACTTTTATCAACGCACGGCGATTAAAATTGGAAATCGAGTTTTTCTGATTTTTTTGTTTCTGTTGGCGCGTTTCTGGATTCAGTCGAAATTTCGATTTTTCGGCTATAAAAAATTCTGCGTCAATTTTTTCTTTTTTTTTCAATAGTAGAGAATGTAGAGAATTGAAAAACAGACCGAAAAAAGGTTTTCGAGAATTTTCAAGAAATCCGCTGGTCCATTCATAAGGATTTTTAGTAGGATCTGTGCAGAATTTTACGAAAATTTTTTTGATACCAAAATCAACCCATAAAATTTAGAATTGAGACCCCTGATAGGATTTGAAGCAGTCGGGTTACTGTAGATTTGAGGGAAAATTATTATTCTTCTCTCAACTCCGTATCGAGAAGAATTCGTTTTCTCTTGTCCTACACTATACACACTGAAACTCTAATTAAGACAAACAGGGAATTTTACAAGGTTTATTCATATTCATAATTGCTTTTGCGTGTGATAAGTGCAAGTGGTAACAGGGATCAACGACGATTAAAGCTAATGAATCTAAGATTGTACAAGATGGGAATTCTAGGAAGAATCTTAAAGGGGGACTCCGACCAAAAGTTTTTATTGCATTAAAATGTTTTAAAAGTTATCTATTTTCCGAATAATATTGCGAAAAAATTCACAAAAAATCCGAAATTCCCAAAAAACGCCGTTGAAAAGGAAGAAAATTCAAAAAAAGGTGCCGCCGGGGGACGAGGATTTTTAGTGAGAAACCTAGGCCACGGCAGCGGGCGCCTTTCCTATGTGGCAAATTTTCCGGATTTTTTTCAATTTCATGTCCGGCAGGTAAAAAACGTAAAAAACCACTGTCGGCAACTTGAAAAAAAGGCTGTCAGGTGCCGTGGCCTAGGTTTCTCACTGAAAATCCTCGTCCCCCGGCGGCACCTTTTTTTGAATTTTCTTCCTTTTCAACGCCGTTTTTCGGAGATTTCGGATTTTCTTTGAATTTTTTCGCAATAATATTTGAAAAATAGATAAATTTTAACACATTTTAATGCAATAAAAATTTCTGGTCGGAGTCCCCCTTTAAGTCGAGATCTAACGGTGACCAATTTGAGCACGATGCTCCCTATTTTGATAATACCTTGGGGTATGGACCAGAAAAAAAATTATTGAAATGAATAGAACTGCTTGAAAAACGTTCTAACTAATAATATTGAAACCAAAAATGGCTAAACTGAAAACATTAGCAAACTCACTAATCTATTGGGTCTAAACTATTGAGAACTTCTTTAATAGCGACGTAATCCAGGTGAAGAAGGCGGAAACGGGCTCGATTAATTAACAGTTTTTGGGGTTGATCAGAAGGCGATTCTCGGGGAAACAGACACTTATAAAATCCATAAAATAAGGAGCCAAACAAAGAAAGGACCGTAAAGATTATGGTGACGTTGACAGATGATGACCAGTATAGGAATAACCAGAACATATGTAGTCTTCTGTTTATGACGATGAAAGAATAGATGATACTGAAAAAACCGGAACCTACAAATCAGGAAATTAAAACAAGAATAACTCACTAGTCAATTAGATCTAAAGGACCCAGAACTTCTTTAATGCGGAAGTAATTGAGGTGGAGAAAGTAAAAACGGGTTCGATTCTGTATCGAATTTTGGGGTTGACGACGCAATAGGCCTAGAATCTGGAGAAAGGAGGAGGGCAGGTTTGCCTCATAACCTTTCACAGATTGTGGAGGTCACTTTTACGGAGAACACACAGAGATGCACGGACCACTCGGACAGTGCATCTCTGACACACATATTCAGGGACTTTGACCAAAAATTTTGGAGTACAACGATTTTTCATTTTCAAATATCCTAGACTGTAGGGCCTACGGTAATCCTTTGAATTTTCGAACAATACTCCCCTACAATAATCTTTGCATTCTCCGAGTAATGTTCCCCTACAGTAATCCGTTTAATTGAGTTTTGGTATCCATAAATTATGGTAACTTTGTACCCCTAACCATCAGTTTCTTCATAATTATTGCCAAGACACCCCAAATTGAAGTTTTTGAACTTCTAGATGGTCGTACCTCGTTGTACCTCTAAACTCTTGTACCTGCAAAATTTTAAAAAAAAGATTTATCTACAGTACTCAATTTGAAAAAATCCTGATTTCACAACAAAAATTTAAACGAGAAACAAGCAAAAAAAGAATTCAGAATGCAAAATACAGCAGAAATCATGTTTTCACATAAACGGGAATTTTCTTGTTTTGCATTCGGTCGTCTCGATCTACTATATCCATACTCTCCCAGGTCAAACGAATTTTCTGTTTCAACTTCCACGCTTTCTCCCAATCGGCGGATTTTGCAATTCGTTTGTGTTGAGAGTTTCGCCAGCCGTTTCGTCGCCAAACCTGAATATAAAAACAAATTCAAAGCAAACCAGAATTCACAATCACCTCTAAATGTGCTTCGAAACTTTTGATGAGCTTCTCAGAATCCGCTCGAATGATTATCGCATCGTAATTCCGGGCAATGGCTTCTTCTAGAATACGATTCAAGGCTGATGGACTCCCACAGCAACTGACGCCTTCTTCTCCATCGAATACATATCCAGCATTCAGATCAGTTCCAGTTTTGTATAGACGGACGACAGGAATTCTGAAATTTCAATGCGATTATTCATAAAAAAAATATATTGCTCACCCTTCCTGTCGGTACTCCTTTTCTCTTACTAGATCATCCAATTCTAGTTCATATTCCGATTTATCCTTTCCAACAAGAGCATAGGACAACCCTTGAATACACTTCTTCTCCAACTCTTTTCCCAGATCAGTTTCAGAATTTTCCTCTTCATATCTGAAGTTGACCTGCTTCAATCTTTCACAGAGATCGCAAATCCTATCGTAGAAAACCTTCCCGGTAAACGGAACATGCACTTCGGTAGTTCGTATCCATCTCCTTTGCCAGCCCGCCATGAAATGTGCAGACGATGTTACGATGGTTACGTTTTCTAGATCAGCGTCGATTGTCTGTTTCAATGCTTCTTCGATAGCAGCTAATTCCGCTCGAAACGGTGTCACTGGGAAAGGAGTGTATCGAAACGATTTTCCTCCGGCAATATATCCATCTGGCCAATGAGTGCAGTAGCCGGCAGAGATGAATCCTTAAAATTTGATAGCATTTTTAATTTTAAGCCTAGAGGAATGCACTCACCTTTATTCTCTTTACATCTCACAGCAACGTAAACAATTGGCCATTCCTCGTTTCTTTTTGACACAACATTACCGGTCTTGTCCAAAGAAGTGCCTACCTCGATTTCTGAAAATTATTCAGGTTTTTTATTTTCGAAAATCAAAAATAAAAAAGCTGGTAAATTTTCAGTTTTCTAAACCCCACTAACCAAGTTTAGAAATGGAATCCATTGGATTGTCCATCCTACAGTACTTGCCTTTGTCTGCTTTTTTCTCCTGCTCAGTTAATTTCGGCCGAATTTCTTCCTTATTTATCTTCTTGCTCGCAGATTCCAAAATAGCAGTAGTTACCCGATTGATCGGATCTTCCTGAGTTTTCGAAGGTTTATGCTTGATTTTCAAATGCAGTCCTTGAACAGCCACAAAAATTTCCTGAAGAATTTCAGCATTTTTCAGCTTTCTATCGTGGTTTCGAGTGTAGAAATCACGTTTCGCGTAACCGGAGATATCGCGGAGTAATGTGTCGGAAGACGTAAAATCCGAGTAGATCAACAGCGACGGAGGTGGTTCTTCTTCTTTTGCGATGTTAACTGCTTCAAGAATAGCTGCTAACATAGCCGCCACGTTTGTTGAACCATCGGGAAGTGTTCTGATACCGTTTCGTGGATCGTCTTTACCCCAGTAGATTCCATATTTGGCCACTCGCTTCCCATTTGGATCGACAAACGAATAACCCGTTGTTTCTACACGGACAAACTTTCTGAAAACCATATTATACTTTGGTTAACTAATAAAAATATTCTTTCTAACCCTAAGTTTTCCTCAGCACCGTCTGGATTCGTGCTATATCTTCTAGTCGCACCGTTTCTGTGGACCGACGACAAAATGGTCACTTGAAAAGTGTTCCTGGTAGATGTTGGTGGAGTTTGAGGAAGCAATAACCGTCGTAAATAGATCATCTTCAGTGAATAAAGTGTTTGAAACAACTGATAATGAATTATAAATAGAATTTCAGGTAGAATTGCACTGTTTTCATTCGAATGAGAATTAACACATTATTTTATTTTTAAAATTTATGTTAGACATAATTTTTTAGTTTCTCAATGCTATCTCGATATTTTTGGAAAAATTCATTTTCGGTCATCGTCGTTGAGGCTATCCGTTTGATTGGGTTGTCGGATTCACTGATGCTCTCGAGTTTAGCCTGAAAATAACCAAAATTATGTTAGCTAAATTTGGGAATGTAAAAACATTACTTTCAATTGTAATACTCGATTTTGCGTATCGCTTGCATTCACAACGAGTCGGATTAGATGGAAACTGGCGGCTTCTGTAAATGGGGGTACGACGAATTCGAACGTTTTCAAAATCGAACAGAACTAAAATCGAACAGATTCAATTCAGAACAGTCCTTTTTTCGCACACGTACCAGAACAGAACGCGGACAGAATCGAGCTGTTACAAGTTCGAACTGGTAAGGAGTCGAACTGTCCCAAATTGGAACGCTGTTTTGTGTGTGCTTTCATGCG